AACGACGAAAATTCTAAGCTAAGAAGAAAGCTGAATGAGGTTCAGAGCTTCTCTGAAACGCAAACAGAAACGGTGACAACACTTGAGCGTAAATTAGAAGCAGAAATGGTCGAGGAGGAGAACGCCTACCACGACCTGGAGTCGGTGGTGCAGCAGGTGGAACAGAACCTGGAGCTGACGACCAAACGGGCTGTAAAGGCAGAAAATCACGTCATGAAACTGAAACAGGAAATCGGTTTGCTCCAGGCCCAGGTCTGCAACCTTCAGCGTGAGAACGAAGCCCGACGGTGGGGCGGTGGGACGGTGAGGCGGCAGCCACGCTGACGTGGTCTTGCAGAGCCTCCGCGCGTGACCGCGCGCTTCCATAAAGCAGCTGGTTTCCGCAGCCGAAACGTTGAATCTTGTTGCTGAAACCGTTAAATCTATAGACAGAATTTCCGAAATTAAAGAGGAAGAGGAGGACTCTTGAGAACCACTGGGGTGCTTCCCGCTGAAAACCTGAGATCGCCGCTGCTCTATCTGACCGTGCAACTGTGTCTTTCAATATTCAGTCTTCACCCAGAGTGAAGTGTTTATCGTGGGAGGCTGATTTCGTGACCTCAAACAGTATTACTGGCCACCGCAGTAGGAACAACCTATCCGTGAGTTACACCTATATATGGGATTCTTGGTGAAAGTCTCGCTGTTTTATAGACTCTGATCTATTGGAAGAAACTTTTATGAGCCAGTGATTTTTAAAAATCACTAAACATGAGAACAGCTGTTCTGTACTAAGTGTTTTCCGTTAACAACCCAGAACGTGAACTGTAAGATAAATCCAGTTGACCTCCTTGATTTTGTTAAGTAGAAAAACACTAAGCGAACCATCACAGAAGTGACCGACTTGGACAGGGACTCGTGCCTTTTCGCTGTCACTCGGTGCCCCTCTGGCTCACCGTTCACTCTTGCAGCCTTCGCGGGGTGGCTCCTGGGGTCGGTGGCCCTCATGCGGAGGCACCACTTGGTGGACGCTTTTGTCCTCCCACAGAGACCGAGGTCGCAGGCACCCACGTCGTGAAGCCATCTAAGCGCACCTGTACGTGCTCTCAGACCTGAGACGCTGTTTTTGACTGGGGTTTGGTACACTTGGAGCAGCACCTTGTATGGTGAACGGTGGGACTCAGGAAGCTGAAGTGTGTGCGGAGCGCCCCGGTCAACCCCAAGTGCTGCGGGCTGCCTTCCTGACCGCTCCTCTGCTCCGGGAAGGCACGACATGAGCTGTGTGCCTTTGGCTATTTTCCTGTAGATGTTTTCTTTCTTTCTTTTTTTTTTTTTTTAAATAAATTTCCTTTTTCCCTCCTGTTCAAATTGACAGCTTTCTTGTTTAAATAAATTCTTGAAGTTCAAAAAATAAAATAAAATATTTTCTTGTTTATCTGGGATTTAAATTTAACTGGGCCTTCTGCATTTTTTTTTTTTTTAACTGAATCGGGCAACCCTTCTACGGGACACATACTATGGGACATAGTTACACTGAAAATTATTTATACTAATATATTTATATTAAAATGTTTTTAAAATATATTAAATATGAAACTAATACTAAAAAAATTATTGTTATCTGAAAAATCAGTCTAATTGGGAGTCCTGTACTTTGCTAAATCTGGCCATCCTATTCTGGGACGTACTTATGCTAAACATATTTATATTAAAAGCTTTTTTAAAACACAGTAATATGAGACAGTTAAAAAGAAAAAAAAAAAAAAAAGGTTTGCTCTCTATCTGGAATTTTTGCATTTTTCAAGCCGCCCAGCAGACGGTGCCCCATCCTCCGCTCCATCCTCACTGCTCTCCTGATGCTGTGACCCGTTGCCAAAGCGACCGAATCCAGGGTCCGGGGTTACTCGCGTACACAGCGAGGTAACAGGAGTCCAGGGGCCTCGAATTGGCCCTCCGAGCCTTGTGCGTCACAACATCGCCCCCGTCGAGAGTCCCGCGGCGCGTGACGTACCGGTAACGCGCGCCCCAACGGACCAATGGCGG